CTCCAACCTCAGCTGACTGTCTGAATTGCTCTTGTGTGTCAAAATCTGCTATATAAATAAACTTGCCTTGCCTTAAATAATTGTTATACCAAGCCCAACTGTCTTTCTAGAACCCTCAGCTCCACTGATCACTTGCTTCTGGCTGTCCCTTTTTCTACATTTAAAGGTAGAGATGACTGTGCCTTGGCAACTGAAACCCCAAAATTCAAGAATGAGCTGCCTTTACATATTAGATTGGCTCCGTCGGTCACCATCTTCATAACTCGACGTATAACATTTTACTGTGCTCAGGTGTTTCTCAGTTTGACTGTTGTATTTATTTTTAAATCTTTCCTGGTTTTTAATATTTACTTTGTGATAGATTTTTGGACAGCTGTATTTTTACTTCTACCAAGGGTAGGGGTTATGTTTTTGCCTGCATTTGTTTGTTTTTTGGTTTGTTAACAGCATAACTCAAAGAAAAGAATAGATTTTCATGACATGTTTTGGAAAGCTCACAGAACAACTGATTAGATTCTGGTGCTGCTCCGTATCATTTGGATACAGGAATATTTTAAAAGATTATTTACCATTGTGAGTGTTGGAAAGGCTGCTTACTGTATGTGAGCCCCCTCGTGGCCAAAGTGTGCAGCTGCGCTGCTGAGCCCTCCGAGCTCATATGGAGACAAAGCCCCTGGGTTAGTGACAGCCCACAGATGAAAAAGATATGCTCTACGCAGCGGTAGCCAGTGAGAGCCTGATGGCAGAGATTTGGAGCCAGGCTCTAAGTTATCACTTCCATCCTACGACAGGTATTATGCCACTTTATTCAGTCAAGAGTCAAGAATCTTTGTCATTATGCATACCACAATGACATTTTTTCTAGCAGCTCTCAGCTTAAAAGACACATTATTTACATAACACACAGTTGTATAAGTCAATATAAAACTATGAGCAAACAAAAAGGGATGGGACCTAATCAGGTCAGCAGCATGTTAGCCTAAGTAACAAAGTAACCATTTAGATTGACAATATGTCACCAGTCTATCCAGGTAACGCCAATTTAGGATTTGTTCTGATGTTTTTGGAGATGAGTGCTCATTATCTGACCAAGCTACCTCTCTTAACATGTGGTTCAGAGCACAACAGCCTGTTGGCGAGGACGCTCCAGCTGCACATTATAGCTGCGTTTCCACTGTTGGAGCTTAACAAGTATTTCAACTCGTGCTTCCCTTAGCCATCACCCAACATAACTTCACCTGTTGACATGGCCCATTCCACTTTGCTTTTCCACTGTATTTATCCTGTGTGGATCCCTGTTTAGCGCTCCTCTCACACTCTCCCAGCTGAGCAGATGTGAAGCATCACTCCACAGTGCAGTGATCAGCCAGTAACAGAGGCTGGATGAGTAGTTTATCAAACGGCTGTTGGACAAGCAGAGCACAAACTTGCAGAAATGTGATGTCTTCATCCCTTTGCCCACGTCCACTCACTGAAGTCCCCGTTTTACACCAAAACCAACGAGCAGACGTCTGTCATGTCGTTTTCCTTGGTAACTTTCAACCTAAATGATATCAGTGTCATTCCAGACGCCAGCAGCAGGTTTTCATGGTCCAGCAGTCGTATTATGAAGGTCACACTGTCATGGAAGCTCCAGTGGTGTGATCCCTGTACCCCATCTTATGCACAATTCTTATCGCTCTTTTTTGTAATATATACAATGATTGAAGTGAGCTTTTGTATGTATTTCCCCAGTTTTCAACGCCATACTCTAAGTATGGTAAAATCAATGAAGAATACAAAATGCGTAGTGCTTTCCTGTCCAAAATATATCTAACCCTTGCCAATATCGATATATTCTTTGCTATTTTGTGCTGAACATATCTGATATGAGATTTCTAGGAGAGTTTGTCATCAACTATGACACCTAGAAATTTAATTTCATGTACTCGTTCTATATTAGCTCCCCCAATTTTCAATTGAAGTTCATTATCTAGTCTACGATTCCCAAATACCATAAATTTAGTTTTATCCATATTCAGAGATAGTATATTACTATCACACCATTTCTTTATCTTCTCAAGTTCCTGTGAAACCCGTCCAGATAGTTGCTGTAGGTTTTCACCTGATGCCCATATGGTAGTGTCATCAGCAAACAAAACCACTTTCACTAAATCAGAAACCTTGCATATATCATTAATGTATAATATAAATAATTTAGGTCCCAAAACAGAACCCTGAGGCACTCCACATACAATATCCA